ATGGGGAAAACTTTGTTTTTTCTTATCCATTTCTGGTAATCAGATTAGTATTACATGCCAAAAGTTTTAAATCTTAAAATGATTACATGGAACTGCAGGGGCCTACAACGCTTAAAGAAGGTCAAACAAGTTATTAATAGACTGCATGGATTCCAGAATAGTATTTCTACAGGAGACGCATCTTATGGAAGAGGATGAGGGGCCAGTCAGGAGGAGGTGGCGGGGTAGTGTATTCGCTTCTGCATTTTCTTCTAGAGCAAGAGGAGTTATGACTCTTGTCCATGAATCTGTCCCATTTGATGGGACAGACAACATGTTATCAAGGATAAGAAGGTAGATATTTGATAGTTCAGGGCTCCTTACTATTGGAAAAAATTAACCTGGTTAATGTCTACTGTCCTAACACAAACGACTCGGTTTTTTCAGGACTTGTTCTTCTTACTTTCATCGCTGCAGGGGCGCTTTGTGATCGCAGGGGATTTTAATTGCACCCTTATTCCAGAAATGGATAGATCCACTGGGTCAGATCTGACACATAGTAATTGTAGAACAACTATACAGATGTTTATGAAAGTTCTTAGACTGGTAGACATCTTTAGGGAACTACATCAACAAACTAGAGCCCACTCATGTTATTCAGCAACATTTCAGACCTACTCCCGAATAGATTATTTTTTAATTTCATCAGAGCTAATATCCAAAATTCAAAACTGTATGTATGATAGCATAGTGATCTCAGATCACGCGCCATGCTGTCTGAGCTATTGTGATGAGAACCTCACAAGAGACCCCCCTAGATGGCGTTTTCAACACAAATGGCTGCAGGATGGGGATTTTGTTAAATATATTGTGCTACAAATTGATGAGTTCTTTCAGTTGAACACAAATCAAACAACAGCAAGCACCAGATGGGAAGCCTTTAAAGCATTTATTAGAGGTCATATTATTAGCTATACAGGCAAAAAGTCCAAGGAAGCCAAGACTAAAAGGCAGCTTCTAGAAAATAAAATAAAGGACATTCAAGAGAGGGTTTTTCAAACAAATGATGCTGAGTTGAAAAAACAACTGCTGATCCTCAGAGCAGAATATGATAAAATGTCCAGTTTCAGAGCTGCATCCAGTCTCTTAAGATTGAAACAAAACTTTTACGAACAGAGGGACAAAGCTGGAAAACTTCTAGCTTGGCAGATTAAAAAGCTTGAAGGAACAAGATCGATCACATCAATTGAAACACGGGATAAAACTCTTAATAGATCCAAGAGATATTAATAATGCTTTTAAAGATTACTATCAGAAACTATATGATACTCAAGGAAATTTAGACCAAGTGGAATTAGTTAAGTTTTTGAGTGGGCTACATATCCCTGTCATTGCAGATGACTGTAGAGTAGACTTAAATATAGAAATAAATAAAGAGGAATTAGCACAGGCTATTGATGGAATGAGATCTGGTAAACAAGCAGGACCTGATGGTACTCCCATCGACCTTCATAAAAAATTTAAGGATACATTGCCATCTCCCCTTCTAGATACGTTTATGGAGTCATTTAAAAAAGGCACCCTGCCTCCCTCTTTGAATCAGGCCCTAATTATTCTGCTGCCAAAACCGGGAAGCCCCCAAATAAGTGTGAAAACCTGAGACCCATCAGTTTACTCAACTCTGATCTCAAAATCATCTCTAAACTACTGGCAATACGGTTGCAAAGAGTTCTACCAGGCATAATAAATAAGGATCAGAATGGGAGGCAAGGATATCACAATATTCGAAGGGTCCTGAATATTATTTGGTTTAAAAAGAACGCTAATGATACAGCTCTTCTTACATTGGATGCGGAGAAGGCTTTTGATAGGGTCGAATGGCCCTATCTTTTTAACATATTGGAGAGGTTAAATTGTGGAAGTAAGTTTATTAAATGGGTTAAAATATTATATAATAATCCAACTGCAGAAATAGTATCAAACAAAATATTTTCAAGGGCAATTCAAATCAGGAAAAGTTGTCAGGGATGTCCTCTCTCTGCTTTACTATTCACCCTGGCAATTGAGCCATTGGCATCAACTATTCGCCTACATCCACGAATCTCCGGGATAACAGTAGGTCCCACAGAGCACAAAATCTCTCTATTCGCTGACGATGTTATTTTATTTCTAACGGATCTGAAAAAGTTAATACCTGTTGTGATGGAAGTGATCCAGGAATTTGGGAGAATCTCAGGTTACAAAGTAAATAATACAAAATCTTCTATTCTGGTATTAAATGTAGATGAAAGGACTAATCCCATCAGAGAAGTTAAGCAATTTAAGGTAGTGGAACATTTTGAATATTTAGGTGTTCAGATTTTCCCAGCACTACAGCAGGTGGTCAAATCCAATTACGAACACCTAATGAAAACAATAGCTGCCTCAGTTAACAACTGGACATCCCTGCTTATATCCATATTGGGAAGAGTTAATATCCTGAAAATGAGTATACTACCAAAGCTATTATACCTCTTTCAAAGCATTCCCCTGCCGCTGCCTCCTGAATTATACACTTGGCTGAAAAAAACTATTTTAGGCTTTATGTGGAACAATGGAAGGTCTAGGCTATGCCTCTTGCTATATTTACCATTTGGTAGAGGGGGGTTAAACTTCAAACTTTACTATTGGGCCACACAACTATAAACTATCATGTTCTATTTTGCAGATAAAGATAATCCTCACTGGGTAGAAATGGAGTCCCATAACTTAAGTTTGGCTCTTCCATTATTCATATATTCTGACACTTTAAAGAAGTTACAGAAATATACTACAAATCCCATTCTGAAAAGCATGATTAAAATCTGGCAGGATGTTAGAAAATACCTAGCAGAGCCAAACAGCATATCTCAATTTAGTCCAATATGGGGTAATCAGCTGTTTGCTCCAGGTAGGGCAGATGGAACATTTAAACTTTGTCCATCGCAAGGCTTAAAAAGCATTGGCGACCTTTACTCATCAAATTCTGATGTATTTTTGTCATTTGGAGAGGTACAAATCAAAAGCATTATTTTAAATTTCTTCAGTTGAGAAGCTTTGTTAAAGCAAATTACAGTAATCTTAACAAGCCTCCCTTTACATTGCTTGAAAAATTAATGACTCAGAATAGATCAAGAAAGGGCATAATTTCAGACTTTTACAATGTGCTGATCTCTAACTCATTGGAGAACTCAAAAAATAAGCTTATAAACTGGAATTTGGACTTATCATCAAATATCAGTGAACAGGATTGGGAAAGGGCTTGCATTAAAACTCACACAATGTCCATAAACAGCCGTCTTAGAAATCTACAGTTTTAATGGCTAATGCGTGTTTGTTACGCCCATGCATTTAAATAAATACAACTAGGCCTGTCACGATAAATTTTGCTGAGCGATTAATTGTCTAAAAAATTGTGATAAACGATAATATTGTTTCAAGACCTTTTGACACTGATTTAATGGAAATGACTAATAATGCATGTGATTTCCTATTTATTCAACATTTCGTGCAACGAATATAGAAATGACAAGGGGAGGAACTGGAGCCAAATGGCTACCGCAGTTGATAAACCCGGTAGGTTTTCAGCTGTTCTTCGTTAACATGACATAAATAGGTTATAATGATTTTCATTCAGTCAGGACTTTACGCTGACTCTAACCACATGCATTGCAGGTAGATTCTAGTAAAGCATTTGCCTCTTTTTAAAATTAGTTAACTGGACTTGTAGCCATTATTTTGTGCCCATGTGGCTGGACACCACACGGCATGACGAACCCGATCGAACCGTTATACCTAGGATTTCTGTCGGCTAAAGTGTGGTCAGGTTTTGAAAATGGGCCGACAACTCGTGTAGTGTGCGCTGGACATTACACTAAGGAAATGAGGAAGGGAAGGTCAGTGGAGAGCACCGGAGTTGAGCCTTTTTTCATTCAGTGTCGGCAACAGAAAGAATAAAAGGCAGGAAGAGATGATAAAACCGATAATTAAAATTAGGTCGATAGGTTTAATTTATTGTGCGATTAATTGATTTATCGTTTATCGCGACAGGCTTAACAACAACATCCCAGATTTTTGCGTAGTGTAATTCTAAAAGGACTCTAATACACTGCATGTGGGAATGCAGACAAATCAATGCATTTTGGACAGAGGTGAAAGATACAATTGAAAAAATTCTCCTAAAGCAAATTTCACTGGACCCTAAATTGTTCCTGTTGGCTTTATACCCTGAGAAGCATAACTTTAGTAAAGTAGAATGTACCTATAAAGATATAAGCTCATTAGCTGCAAAAAATTTATTGCTTTGACTTGGAGAAATGTCAGCAGACCTAGTGCCATGCAGTGGTTAAAGCAGATAGCATCTAATTTGCCGCTAGAAAGAATAACATATATTAGAAAATCCAAACAGTATCTTTTTGAGAGGATTTGGGGTCCTTTCATTAATTTTATTAAGAATTTAGACTTATGAGAGGGACTGTTTGAGATTTGATTTGCTGGAACCTGCAGGGTGCCATGCTGTATAGATGTGTACATTTACATGTAACCAGTTTGTAATCTGCTTGAATACCCCTGTTTTTGAGAAGCTGTTTCTTGTTTTGTCTTTTTTCTGTCCCATGTCTGTCTTTTTTCTTTCTATGTTTTCATTTCTCTGAGTTGAGAAAGAGAATAATTACCGTCATATAATAACCAACCACAAAGAAAACGTGTTCAGATAGTTACATGATTGCATTTCCAAAGTGAAAAATCTCAATAAAAATATTTTGGAAAAAAAAAACATTTTTAATGCAACTTCAAAAATCACTTTTCTGAAAAAGAGGCGGGTCTGATTTTTGGACAAATTGAGCACAAATGAGCATCTGACCATTTTGATGCTCAGATTGAACTTTTAGATGCATTCTTTCTCCAACATACCCAGATCAAATGAATGGCTGAATAGCAGGACTCTGCAGAGCCGAGTTTCTGCTGGTGATGGAAGTCAGCTTTTTGACTTGGCACGTTGGAGTAGGGATGCATGTAAAGGCTGCAGGGCAGTAGCTCTCGAGGATTGGACTTGGTCACACCCGAATTAGGCTGTCAAATCCTAATTAACAAAAAAGTGATGAGAAAAGACATACTTTGACAACAGGATGTCCTCCAGCAGTTGCTTTGATGGATCCTCTGCTGCCCTCCGTCTCATAATGTGCTCTGTGATAGGACCTCGGCTGGACCTCCAACTTCAACTCAATCAGATCATACTGGTTGGGCAGAGGCCAGTCCAGTGGAGGGGGCAATAAGCCCCTGGAGAAAAGACACATAGAAGAATCTGATTGTTTGAAACATCAAACTTTCTCATAAAAAAAAGCCAAAACAATGGGGCTGCTTACAGCCTAATAAACCACTGGTCAAAGTTTCTCCAGAATCCTCTGCCTCACTGAGAAATGGACTTTCACACCAACGAGATACTAATAATGAGTAATTTGTTCTTTAAGTAGCACTCTTAACAATAAGCTAATAACTGGCCCAGTTCAATTGAGTCGTATTTCCCCCAAATGATGCATTTTATTCACTATAAAAAAAAACAAAACAATAATTCTAAGAGTAAATTGGTCTGCTCTCTGCTCTTAACCTCTCTGGGAAAAAAGAAGGAAGGAGAAATCATTTGTAATGATTTGTAAATCATTCGTTCCAACCTGAACAACGGGGCATTTCCAGGTTTAGGTTTATTCCAGCTGTAGTGGGAAGGCACTTGAAGATAAAGCTCAGCAAGGTTGGGTTTTTCTTGGGCCTCTTCGCCAGGAGAGTCCTGGTACGTGTCCAGACCAGGCTCTCCCTGACCGATCAAGAGGCCAAGGTGGCTACTGGTTGTCCTCCTGGTTTTGGAAGGAATGTCAAGTTCCTGGCATCCAGAAATGAGGAGTGAGCCAAGGGCAGTGGCAGGGCTTCCCACCCATGTGTCATCAGTCACACTGCCCCTTGGAGAGGTGCCTGGAGTGGGGCTTGGCGAGTGATGGGGAGAGGGTGAGCGAGTATGGGGCTCAGCACCGGAGTGGCGTCTCTTTCCACAAGGGGATGTTGGTCTGGATGATGCCCTATGAAAAGAAATTTATTTACCAAATTTTAGAGCTCTCAAATGATTTCTGTTTGTGAGAGAGGTTTTTTTTTTTTAAATAGTTGAATACATTTTCATAAAAGCATAAATAGTAATGCTGGTTCAAAATAACTGCGTGGAACATTAGTGTGATTCATGTTTCAAGCATGGGTCTTAATGAACATTAAGGAAAAGTTAGCAGTTCACAATGGAAGCAGTTAGTCCATCAACAACATTAACAACTATCCAATCTGACTTGGCATATGTGACCTGAAAAGATCTCAAATCACACTCTTCAACAAAGATAAAATTCAAAATGAATCCAGAATGATATAAAAGACTCGCTGTCACTTATTACTGACATTTTAACTCATCTTTTAAAAGTCACTTTAATCAGATTTTAAGACCAGCGGTGTCCAAAGTCCAGCAACTCTCGACAACTGGCATCCTGCATGTTCTAGTTCTCTCCCTGGTAGTAGTAACAACCTCCTCAGCTTGTCAATGTTCTTCTTTGGCCTTCTAATGAGCCATCATTTGATCCAGGTGTGTTAAACCAGGGAGAGAACTAAAACATGCAGGATGCCGGCCCTCCAGGACCCACTTTGGGCACCACTGTTCAAGGCTTTACATAATTTGTATCCGTTAGTTAATATTGACAGATGAGGCACAACCTTTTACTTAGGAGGCAATTATTTTTCAAATCTCAAAATTAACTGTAGTAACTTCGGCTGCCTCAGTTGCTTGATATGTTTATTCTTGACTTGGGAGTTTACGCAGGTGTCAAACTCCAGTCCACAAGGGCCACTGCCCTGCAACTTTTAGATGTGCCTCTGCTGCACCACACCTGAATAGAAGAATTAGGTCATTAGCAGGACAATACACAAGAAGGAGGTAATTAAGCCATTCCATTCCAGTGTTTTGTACCTGTGGCACATCTAAAAACTGTAGGATAGTGTCCTTTGAGGAGTGGAGTTTGACACCCCTTATATAGCCAGAATAACTTTCAATACCAGAATAATACATTAACGCACGGGTGTCCAAAGTCGGTCCTCGAGGGCCAGCATCCTGTGTGTTTTAGTTCTCTCCCTGGTTTAACGCACCTGGATCAAATGATGGCTCGTTAGAAGCCTAAGAAGAACATTGACTTGCTGAGAAGGTTGTTACTACCACCAGGGAGAGAAGTAAAACATGTAGGATGCCGGCCCTCGAGGACCGACTTTGGGCACCCCTGCGTAACGGATTCACTCCCTCTGTGGGATGTAAATCCATACGCCACATTAACTAGTGTTTATATTTATACATATCAGATGTTGCAGTGTAATGTACAGGGTTTCTGCTAGTTTAAGAAAGTCAGATTTAAGACTTTTTAAGATATCTTGTAAAAGCCACTTTGATCAAATTTAAGACAACCTTTTACTACAGAGGCAATTATATTTCAGATAGGGTCAGATTTTTTTGTGGAAAGCTTTTTTTTTTTTTTTTACTTGAATCAAATCATTCTTTATATTAAAAAAACTGTATTTTGTTAAATACTTTTTATGAAGGACACTACTTGTAATGAATAAAAATAAAACTGTGTAATACAATTGTTTGGAAAAAAAATCACAATGCAATCTGTTCTTCTTAACCAAGAAGAACAGAGAGGGTAATTATGCACACTGCCTGAAAAAGATGATGAAAACAACAAACAAGTGGATCTCCATATGGAGGTGAAGCTGACTGACCTGGAGGTAGGCCGGCGGCTCAGCCAGTTCTCCTCTGTGACACTGGTGCGAGGGGAGTGACAAGGTGACTGTCGGGGTGACTGATAGGGTGACAACACTGGATTGAAAGCTGACGGATGCTGGTATTTCTGCTGCCAAAGCTCCACCCCAAATGCCCCTCCCCTGCAACCTGGTGACCCCAGAGCTAGGAGTGCAGGGTCTTGTAACTCTCCCTCCACATCATCATAACCGTGGGAGAACGATTCACAGGATGACAGGTCAGACATCCAGCTTCTAGAGGAGAGGCTGCTGCAGGGACTGGGGCTGAGTGCAGTTTCACGATAGCAGGCATCCAGAGGCAAGTAGAGCTGGTCTCTGGTCCACAGTGGCTCAGGATAACCTCCTTCTGCACCACCTAGTGGCAAAACCTCCAGGTCATTGCCAGGCTCGATATGATTATGAGCAATGGACGTGATTTCAATGCTTGGGCAATCAAATGCCCTGAAGTTCTGCTGGAGGCCACAATAGGGTCTGTGAGAAAGGCCATCAGCATGATCGTAGTCAACTGTGCCAGGTAAACATGGAAGGTGGCTCTGCAGCTCCGGACTACAGAGCTGCTCAGTGAGAGCCTGATTGGAGGGAGGTGTCTTCACATCCAGAGCTAAAGCTGTGAAATAGAACAAAGATGTTCAAAAATGAATCTCAAAATTAAATCAAGTGTTGCAGTAACTAATTCTACCTCAATTTCTTCATATGTTTATTCTTTGGTTGGGAGTTTAATGTGTTAATGTCCATTAATTAAGTATAACCCCTTCAAAAACTAACATTCACTCACACTGTGGGATGTACATCCATACACCATATTAACCAGGGTTTATTTATAAATATCAAACGTCCTAGAACAGCGATGCAAGCAATGGAAACCAAAGTTAAATTATTTGTTTGTTCCAAAAAAATTTGCTTTTAAAGTTGATTCTTATTTAGGCAAACTGACAATTATGTGACTCTGCACCAGTTAGCTGTATGAATAAACTTAACCTTCAACTTTTTTTTTATGTTGAAGGTTAAATAAGGTTGACAATCATATCACAATTGTATTCTCTTACATGGGCTGCACAGTGGCGCAGTTGGTAGAACTGCAAGAAGATTCTGGGTTCAATTCCCAGCCCAGGGTCTTTCTGCATGGAGTTTGCATGTTCTCCCTGTGCATGTGTGGGTTCTCTCCAGGTACTCCAGCTTCCTCCCACAGTCTTAAAAACATGACTGTCAGATTAATTGGTCTCTCTAAATTCCCCCTAGGCGTGAGTGTGTGCGTGCATGGTTGTTTGTCCTGTCTGTCTCTGTGTTGCACTGCGACAGACTAGCGACCTGTCCAGGGTGACCCCGCCTCTCGCCTGAAATTTTCGCTAGAGATGGGCACCAGCACCCCTCCAAACCCCATTAGGGACAAGGGTGTACAGAAAATCGATGGATGGATGGATTCTCTAACATGTCAAGCTATCATCAATATAACAGTTACACTTCCAGTAACAAACTCTTATTTTGAAAATCCAAATGGGATACTTCTGGTGCCGAATTAAGCCTAATTCACACAACAGGATTTTTGTCCAACAATCTTAGAGCATTCTGTGTTACATTATCACTTCATCTTGTCCTGTGTGGTGTTAAAAGTGATCTGATCTGGTTGGTACAACATCGTGACCAAATTTTATTAGTGCTTAAAACTATATTTTAAGCACTAATTTTGCAATAATAAAGAATTGGATGCTGTAATTAAAGATGTCCCTCAGGTTCTGATAAACAAAGGTCAAAGATTTTTACCATGACACATAATCAATACTTTGGTAATAGCTACTGATTTTCTAGAATTATATTTTATTAATAAATCATTCAGGACCTTCATTGTTCCAACAGACTTTCCCTTCCCTCTGAAGAAGAAGAAATATATACTTAAAGAGTTTTCACATTTTCAAAGCATCTGTGAGAAAATCAGATGCAGTTGCTTAAAATGATCCACACTCCCAAAAGCCAAAGAATTCAATTTGATGTAGAAAAAAAGTAATGCATTACTTTTTCTTGCAATTATTCATTTCAAGTTTGGGAACATCTTGATAGTTGGACGTTGTCTAATAAATATACCAGCTTTGTCTGAATGCTATGCTATCCTGGTATGTATTTTTAAAACAGTCTCACACACACACACCACATAATGTATGCAAAATATGTGTGTATGCAAAAAAGGTGTTAAGGCACCAACTGTGATCTGCCTCACCAGCTCCACTGCCTCACGCATAGACCTCACTTTGCAGGCTAAAATAAGCTCGGTATGGTGCAGCAGCTACCCTCCTGTTGGGTCAGTGTTCCTCAGTTCCGGTCCTCAGGGGCCACTGTCCTGCATGTTTTAAGAGCACTTAAAATAGATCTTCCACAGTGAAGCAACACTTCTGTCACACTGATGACTTGAATAAGAAAGTGATTAAAAGGCTTCTGTAATATTTTGAATCAGGGGTTCTGGAACAGAGTCACATCTAAAATTTGCAGGACAGAGGTCCCTGAGGACCAGAATTGAGAACCACGTACCATGTTTTAGACGTTATGTGAAACAGAAGGGGAAAAATAGCGGCAGGAGGTAATGGACTAAACCAGGTGGGTGCCTCAAAGCAGTTAGAAAACCAGGAAGTAAAACCAGCCAGCAGACATGCTGGGTGTCACACTGGTTCACTGCAGAGAACCTGAAAAACAGGCAGGCTAGAGACAGACGCGCAATCCCTATCTTTATGGACTCATCTACTTATTTGTTCATCCATTCACCTGAATCGTTGGAAGAGAAGAATAAGAAATGCTCCTTCATATAATAACATTTTCCTTTTTTCTTCATCTTATAAAACTTTGAACTAACTTTTGTCAGACAGACAGACAGTAGTTAACACTGTTGCATTGCGGTGAAAGTGTGTGAACAGAGAAGGTTTGCTCTGGATCCTGTGGCTGCCCGTCACAGTCCAAACAAAGCATTTCCAACATATCTTATCTTTGCTGGTTTATTTATNAGGAAGAGATGATAAAGCTGATAATTAAAATGAGGTCGATAGGTTTAATTTATCATGTGATTAATTGATTTATCGTTTATCTCTACCGGCCTATTTGGTATTATAGACACTAACTTGCATATATTTTAGAAAGGATTTAATTGTACACCATCACAAAGTAGGGTTTAAATTTAAAAGATTATATTTGCTTTTCAATGTGATATTACACATAAAAGTCTTAAAACAGATCTAAGTCAACATCTGTAAGTCTTTTGTGTCATGGCCAATTGTTTAGGGACTGAGATTTATGCCCATGCCTCTTGAGAAAATAGCTCAAGCTCAATAAGATCGGATTAAAAGTTTAAATGTTGCCACAGATTCCCAGTGGAACTTATGCAAGGACTTTGACTAGGCCTTTCTCACACATGGATTTGCTTTGGTCAAACAATTCCTTTGTGGCTTTGGTTGTGTGTTTAAGTTTATAGTTGTTGTCCTGAGCCTCTGCTCGAGTTAACTCTAACCAGCTTTCCTGTCACTGAGCTGCAACAAAAACTGTCGCTAAAGCATGAAGCTGCCACCACCATGTTTCACCATGGGCACGGTGCGTTTATAGGGATGTGCAATGTTAGTTTGCTGCCATAGAAACTTTTTTTGTTTGAAAGTAAATCTTAAGATCATTTGGCAAGATCTGAATTTCTGTCGTTTACATTTCTCGTGGACCTCAGCAAATTGGAGATCTTTTGACTTTCTCTCGACAGTAGTTTGGAAAG